ATATGTACACCCAGAGATTTGACTGAGCTAACTTGTTTAATTATGTCACCACCTATGATTAGTTTAGGGGAAGTATCGTAGGTACCTATCCTTTGCCGCGATCCAATTAACATGAATTCAGTTTTAGATGAATTTAGAGTCAATTTGTTTGCAGTGAGCCATGTGTTAACATTGGATAGGTCGTGATTCATAACAAAGCTCAGTACCAGATGAAATTCAAGAAAGTGAGACTGATGAACATCCTGTGGAGGTTATCACCTGCACCGATCAACGTGACAACTACAGCAGCAGTGAAAGCGGAGACAGTGAGTCAGACGATGATTGTGCAGATGATAGAATTGGTTTTCATATGGTTATGTCAACAAGGGCTGGAAGAGAAAGAGTGTTCACTAGCAGAATGAGAGATTTTCTTCAGTCCAGTTGAAGGTACGTGTATCCATATAGCGTCAATCAGTGCTTTTGATTTATTATGCGCATGATTTTGCAAATAATCATTAGTAATGAGATTTTAGATTTGATAACTGGGATTTTGGCAAAAATTAGCCTGGGAACTAGGATTTGGGCCAAATTTAGGCTGGGAACTGGGATTTGGTACCCCCCTTCACGACCCTCTAATGAAATGACCAATGGTAGCAAGTAGGTTCCTGCGATGTAGCCAATAATGACGAAAACTGATGAGGACGGGGCTGTTTTCCCTGTACGAGAAAGAGAACACCCACAGCTGGCAAAAATGTTTTGAGGGAGGAAAACGTCAAGGTGGCTACCGCCAAATTCTACAAGAATAGGCAGGGCTATCAGAGATCAACGAGTGAGTATTTGGGGTCCCTTGCAGAAAATCTGGCTGAGTGGTATGGGTTAGAAAAACTCTATTGCTCCCAAAGGAAAAGTTGGACTTTCCTTTCCTCTGAAATGGGTAAGAAAATTGTAACTTGAGTTTGCGTTTCTTTACTTTTCATGTAATGACTAACAGTAGCAACACTGGGTTCTTTATTTTAGTCGACTTAAAACCTATCGGTTCTACCTCATCATTGCGATTTGCCGCCAGAAATCACTTGAATTGTCGCCAAAATCACCGCGGTCGTTGTGAAACTCACCTCAGTTGTCACCGAACTCATCTCAATTGTCCCCAAAACTGCTGGAGGCCTCGTGAAACTCATATCAATTATTTCTAAACTCACCTGAGTTATCGCCAAACTTTCTTAAGTAGTTCCCAAGCTCGTCTGAATTGTCGCAAAGCTCATCTCAATTGTCGCCAAAATCACTGAAGTCGTTAAACTTCTCTGAGTTATCGCCAAACTCATCTGAATTGTCGTCAAAATCCCTAAAGTCGAATTCATCCGAGTTGTTGGCAAACTTGCCGTCTGAGTCGTTCCCACACTCATCTACCTGGTCGCCAAACGCAACTGAGTCGTTGCCAACTCGCCTGAGTTGTCGCCATACTCAGCTGAGTTGTCACCAAACTTACCTAAGTCGTTGCCAAACTCACCCAAATTGTCCCCAAACTGACCAGAAGAGTTGCCAAACCCAACTGAGTTGTCAGCAAATTTACTTGCGTCATCGCCAAATTGGTCATGTTTATCTTCACTATCATTATCTTCATAATGATTATCAATGTGGTGATTATTCCATCTTCATTTCTTTTATTATCGCCTTGTAATTTTCAGGGTCACTATCAGTATTACGTCTGTTACTATTTGTTTTTTCATCAAAGATTTTCTCAAGTAAATTCTGCACGTGCGGTTTGTCGCAGGTGTTTTGGTGGCCGATGAAGTCAAAGATAGCAACAAAGAAGAAGTTTGTAGCAATTTTCTACAGTTTGCATACTCTGAACCAAAACCTCAAAGAGAGGTAGATGCAAGTGTGAATAACTATAATTCTAAGAATGGGAAAAGCCTAGGAGTTTCAGAAGGGTACTCGGTACTTACTGTTGGTACTTAATGCGAAAGAGATTTAATGAGTTGATCTTTAGCACTGGATTAGGATAAAAAAAGGTCTAGACTGGACTCTAACTGGAACCGCGTGAGTTGGTCGGAGGTTGAATAGCTGGGCAAGGATATTCGGAACTTGAGTTGCCAATCGGAGCGCGCCTTCATCGCTATCAGCCATTTCGTTATATCAGTAATAATAGCAAAGCTAAGTTGTTTGAGTTCACTCACTTTTCCGTAGATGCCTTTGTCAGGCCAGTATCATTTTCTCCTTTTAAGTCAGCATGGAAAGCTTTTATCAAGATAACTATCAAATAGAGAGTATGAAAGTATTAAACACTTTACGCAGCATGGTGACTGAGTTATTATTGTTGTATTTTATTATAATCATTACTATTATTATTATTTTTAATATTCGATATTGTACCATGATATTTTATCGCAACCAATCAACCTTATCTGGCTGTAGATCAATCAAACTCAGCGAGATAATTTGCTTTACTAAAATCAGTCAGCGGACTTCAAAGGTATCGTCACACAATCGTCCAAGTTACGCTTGACTCGTCTTTGTAGATAGAAAAATTGTGTTTGGAAAATGACTCACTGTAAAATTGACATATTGGAACTTTGGATAAAGTATTATCGAATCCCTGTTCTATAGTGAGATATCAAAGAATAGGTTTAAAAGTATCCTCAAAGCTTTACAGCAGGGCACCAGGCTCTCTTACTTTAGCATTTAATTGTTTATTTGTCAAGCACAGCTTTACACAGGGTCGCCTTTGCTTGAAAATACCTGATGAGACTATAAATGACTGATCAAATAGCAGCCTTCCATTACTTATAGTGTATAGATCAGGAATAAGGGAACAAACCACTGTATTTCTGCTTGATTTAGCACACTTTTGAATAATTGATTTTTCCACCAGTCAGCCGTCAAATACATAGCCCGGCAATTATGTGAACAAAATTAATGACAATCAAGAGACTCGCCAAGTTTAGCGTCGACCGAAAAAGAGTAATGATCTCATATTATATTGTTCGGAGCTTTGTTAGCGCATCCATGCCGGCTCTATTCGTAAGAAACAAGTGATCCCAAGAACACACCTCTTAGACATAAACTGAAACACATTTGTTACGACATGGCTGAAAGACCGTGGTTTCGGATCAACCGTGATCTCTTGGTTTACAAAGCTTTCTATTTCTTTTTCCTGAGCGGTTTCGGCTCTATATTTCCATATCTTCCTGTATATTTTCGTCAGATTGGTCTGCCAGCCAGTCAGGTTGGTTTGCTCCTCGGTTTGCGGCCGATCGTTCAATTTGCCAGCGCTCCATTCTGGGCCATCATGGCGGACAAATACAAGAAACGGAAATCCGTGTTGGTCATGTCTGTTTTGTCTTGGCTGATCATGACACTGACTTTAGCGTTTGTGGAGCCTACAAACGAAATCTGTGAGATTCAACAGGGTAATAATTCACATCGCCATGTCTATAATTATACCAGAGTGAAGACTGGGTTTTTTCGACGCGAACTTTTGTGGCAAAAAGCTGACTTTGACGAGGCAAAGAAAAGAAAACTGATCCACAAAAGGGCTATGGATGTTGTACCTATTTATATTACAGGACAAGACAAGGCTCGCTTTGAATCAAGTTTAAGGAACAAATCATTGTCAGATGCTACCAAAATTCATCCGAATCAAAGTATGGTTGAAAATGCTACCCAGGGATTAAAAAGGATTTTTGAAAAACGAAACAATACCTTTTTGTTTCAAAAACTTGACAAAAAAAAGCAGACGAGTGTTGAACGAAGTGATAGAGGATTGTATCTTAGAACATTGACTTCTACTCGGGATTTAACGGAGTCAAAAGACTTGGTAAACAAAACAGGGACGAATCGCCTTCACAGCGAGCGAGGTCCAAAGTCAAAAGCAAAACTGGTTCATACGACTTCACAAACAACCACCAGTCACAGGGCACTCACCCATTCAATTATGCCAAAGTACCTTTGGCGTTTTAATAAATCCGGGAATTTTCCAAACAAGAACAAGAACAGAAAAGTTACCTCGAAGAATTTAGATAAAACCCACAGGCAAGATCATTTTAATACCGGGATCAATCATGAATATAGAAATAAAAAAACAGGTGAAATCAACGGAACAATCCTGACGTCTTACTTCCAGTCACCCGTAGTAAACATAGGAAAGAAAGATAACAAGTCATCGATTGACAAGAGAAGGCAAAATAACCGTGATGCACCGGTAGTCATTGAATTCTCTAGAATTTTGATTCCACCCGGCAAAGACGCAAGCGATGATAGCTCCGGTGATCATGAAGGCTCCAGCACTGGAAATGGGACTAAATTTTTGCCGCACAAAACTGTTCACTCCACACAACATTTACAACAAGTTGGTGCAAGCATCTCTGAACCGTTGCTGAGTGAAGCAGGACTTTCAAATCGCATTAACACCTCAACAAAGCAAGTTGGTGGAGCAGATATAAAAGCAATCAGCAACAGCCTACTACAGTTGAAAGATAAGCTATCAAAGATCATAGGAATTGATTCCAAAACCACCACAACAGAAAATGGCATCATCAGGCAGAAAGGACATGCAACACATTCTAGCAATGATTCTGTTGTGAAGTCCTTCAACCGATCTCCAACTCAAACGCTCCAGATTCGTGTTCACAACAAAAACGTCTCAAACGAAATCGATAAACTTCATCAAAGTCAGTCAGAGAAGTCGGGCGCGGAAATTTTAATTCATACAGGAATTTCAGTGCTAAATTCAGTCAACAACACTAATGACATGATGCCTTCAAATGGTCAGAACAATACTGACGAGTTAATGCCCCTAAATGATTCTTTAAGTGGCTCTGGAAATACTTTGTTTACATCCTCTTCTCTTGAAACAAATGACAATTTGACATTGTATGATCTCCAAACTGATATAAGAGAAAGTAACGAAACTACTTTACAAAAGAACTACACCAACATCACCTTAAACAGAAGTTCCGATTATTCCCTAGAGAACCCAATGAAACACATCAGCAAAGCCATTCAGGAAGAATTGATGAAAAACACGCCACAAACTGCTGGAGATACACAGTCAAAACTCTGGATGACTAATTTGCTTAAGACCAACTCCTCTGAATTGAAAAGAATTTTTACCATTCTTCTTGTTCTAGTTGTTGTAGGAGAATTTCTCGAGGCTCCGTCAACAACATTAGCAGACGCTTCCCTTTTGGAGCACCTTGGTGAAGAGCGACGGTACTACGGAAAACAACGACTATGGGGTTCGCTTGGATTCGGGCTGTCTTCGTTTCTCGTCGGAGTGCTTTTGGAGAAGTCACGTCACCTTGTTTGTGGTGAGCAATACACAGATTACATGATTTGTTTTTGTGTATTTGCTCTTCTAATGATCTTGACGTTATTTATATCCACGACGTTTAAATTTCAATACAAAGAAACTGGTGTTAAACAGACAAGTGTTTTGTCAGCTCTTTGTAACATTCACTATGGTTCGTGTCTTATGGCAGCATGTTTCATGGGAGTAGGTCATGGAATGTCCCATAGTTTTCTGAACTGGTTTCTTGAAGATCTTGGTGCAACTAAGACATTAATGGGTGTGGCAGTAATTTGTCGCAGCTCTTTGGATTTATTAACCTTTTTCGTGGCTGGAAGCCTAATTAAAGCCATTGGACAGATAAAAATCATGGTAGGTGCGCTTATATCATACGGAGTAGCATTTTCTATGTACTCGCTGCTCACAAACCCATGGTGGGTTTTACCAATAGAGATGTTAGTCGGATGTACATACGCTGCCTCATGGTCGGCTTGTACCTCATATATGGCGGGCGCAGCGTCCTCAGAATCTGTCACAACTATTCAAGGTAAGAAAGTTAATCTCACCTGAAATATTCTTCATTCTTTTACTTGATTTTACTTGTAGTTTTGATAGTCATTCCTTGCTCGGGATGTACATCGATTTAGGACAAAGGTTAATTAGTTGTCTTACCGTTGTCTACTTTTCTATGCCTAAATTTAAAGATAAAACCGAAGTGACTTAAAAATACCAAGACTATCGACAATCATCAATATTATTTAAGCAGAGGGAAGATGCGAGTGTTTTCTTGTTTGTCCATAGGGATTCTGCAAGGAGTGTACTGGGGACTGGGCACAGGTTCAGGTACAATAACAGGCGGGTTTTTAATCCATCACTTTGGAGCTGTGGCAACATTCCGTTGTGTGGCTGGTGCCTCGTTTGTAGTTTGTATTCTGTTTTTTCTGGCGCAATGCAAGTTTACGCGAGAATCAACAGAATACACTGAGATGAAATATACTTACCTTCCTACAGTGGAATCAAAAGACACTGAAGAGCTACTCAGAGGATACAGAGTTTCTAAGACTTTAAAACACAAGCACAGCTCGATGAGAAAACACTAAATCACAGTAGTTGATGCAAATTTTATTTATAGTTGAATAAACATATTGATCCGCCAAAAAAGTCCGAAACGCGTTATGTAGTACAAACAAGACCTACTGTACTGTTGCCTAGCGACACCTAAGACCTCAATTCAGCTTTTTAATCAGTCACAAAATATTAACAGGTGAGGAATATCTCTTAGCTACAATATCATCGAGAAAGAGCGCTCATGCAAGCACCCAGCTAGTTCTGTTCTGTTGTAGTCAGTGAATATGTGTTATGTAAAGGGGAAAACGTCTCTATGCGACTAAACAACAAGCTAAGATCATTGTTACATAAGCAGTCGGTGGCGGATAGGATCGATCGACCGTTGTGTGCACCGTGAAAAGCCAGGGTTTCCATGTGATTTTGATGATTTTAATTTTTGCAATTATGCAGTAACAAAACCATGTAAGCTTTGAGCCTCAAATATCGACATTGTTTATTAGTCAAGATGTTGCTTTAAAGGTATCGATTCGGGATTGCGGCAAGCTGTATTGCCTCAAAAAAAAAATAAGGGAGTTAATTCATCGAACAAAGAAATCAATTGTTAAACTGAGTGAGGTAAGCTCACGAGACGAAAGCACAGATCATAAGAAATGAGATGCAACTGTCTGTGTGACATATCATTGAACAAGGACAAAATTGCATTAATGAGACTAGTAATACTTGTCCCAGTCTTCTGTCCGTGAATCGCTTGTCCCAGGCTCTGCGGCCCCGATAGAACCTTGCTGACACTGGTCGTTTAACTTGTCCTTTGCTTGGGTGTCAATTGTGTAGCTTGAGTTATTTTTTTGAGTTTTCTTGCTGTCAACGCAGATTTGAAAAGTGTTCAGCAATACTGAATAGTAATTGCGATGTCGAAAATTGAGATGTTTCAGGCCCGTGGTGAATATTATGATAAAAATGACAGTTCCCATGGTAAAAAGACGAAACGCAATAGTTGGCCCTGCTACGCGTGTGAGACTTAAACCAAACACGATGCCAAGAATTCCACCAACACCCCAGTAGATGCTCTGGAACACACCTGCAGGACAATAACAGAGAAGAAGTTTGTTAGCTCACCGAATGCGTCCGCGTTTTCACGCTAAACTTGTAAAGTTTGTTTAATTTTGTTTCTCAGGTACTAGGCACTAGAGATAACCATTGCGGGTAGTGATCCGCTTGTTTTGTTCAACTTAGAAAAAAATTAACAATTCTAAAGCAGAGCTTCCTATTACCTTGTACGGTTGCAAGGCAGTCCAGTGGAGAAGAATTCGCCAAATACGTGGTACATACTACAAATGAAGTGGCAAATGTGAATCCTTCCAGTAAGCCAAGAAGGATGAGCTGCCAAGAACTTGTAACGAAAGAGCATGCAAAATGATTAAACATGTACGACACCAGAACAGTGAATATCACATTTATATCCCCCATATGACGTATAAGTTTATGACTCAAGAAAAAGCCAATGGGCTCTCCAAGGAAGGCAAATGACATTATTGTAGACGTAACATGCCCTCCTTTGGCCTCAGAAAGATATGTGACGTGAAAGTTTCGAATCACTGAATGTGAAAAGCCCATGAAGGTCACAGTCGCAGCAAACGCTCCGTAATGTTTTGTTTTATAAGTATTTTTGAGCCTCTCACAGGGGAAATCTTCAACTGGTCTTTGTGGTATCTCGAACTTGACTAGGACTAGTAACATCACGATTGTAATTACACAATAAAAGCAAAAGTTGATAACGTAGTCGGAGTAGATGTGGCCGCACATTTGCCGCTGAGAATTATTAACTAAGATCCCGGTAATGAGGAAAAGGATGAGGTAGCCTACTGAACCAAATAGCCTTTGATATCCATACACAGCTGTATCCTCCTCCACTTGCTTTGTGAGTAACACTGCATCAGCCATGAAGAAAACTGGACATAAGAATATTTCCTCGAAAACTACCAGAGCTAAAGCGCCAACAAATATATGATGAAGCCGAGAAGTGTTTTCCCTCAGCTCATTCCTTGTGGTAAAGTTGAACTGGATCTGATTAAGTGGTTCTTTGGGTTTTGACTTGAGATAAGAGACTGAAATTGTGGTGATGCTGCGAGTCTTGTTGTTACTGGTAATGTTAGGTTCTCTTTTAGGGTCAAGTATATTTTCAGTTCCACTTCCTGATACTTCACTTTCTTGAGGTGATCCCGAACCAGATGATATCTGTACCTCAACACTGTCAAAGTCAGTGGTACTACGTAAGTCGTCTAGGAGATTCCTAGGAAAAAGTTTTGATCGTCTTGTAAAATACTCACTGACTCGCCTTCGCCGAAAGAATCCTGTCTGCATCTCAGTGGAGTTTATAACTTTCGAGTCAGTTTCGTTGAGAGAAACTAGCTGGCACATCTGACCAGTGGGCTCAACAAAGGCCAATGAAATGGTTCCTATAAGCCACACAAAAGTGCAAAACTGGAGCATCATTTTCTTTGGCAAATAACGATCAGCAAGAACTCCCCACAAGGGACTTAAAAGGAGTTGTGAAAATGGGCGAACGCTCACCAGGACATCAACTTGATACGATGAGAAACCAATTTGTCGAAAGTATGATGACAGGAACGGGAATGTTGTCGCCAATGAACTATAGAAGAAGAAATAGAATGCTTTAAAAACAAGAAGATGCTTGTCAACTCGAGCGAGGTGGACATCAGTTTGGTTAATAAGTCTCTGAAATGTAGACCGACTGTAGTTTGTACTCATTTGGTCTGCAAATTCAACATGTTCTTTTACGTTCCTTTTACGTTTTAGGTCCATCACACCAAGTACGCCTCAGTTACGATTAGAGAAGTTACGCTACGGTTTCTAAAATTTGCTATTAGATCAGCGCAAATATTGGGGTCTATTGTGAGTAGAACTGACCCGCATCCGGTGCTTCTTCGATTGCACGGGTGGTAAGAGCAAACAGCCGGTGGCAGACTTTTCTGTGGTTGTCATGTGGCGGGTCACGTGGTAAATGTGAAAAAATTATAAACAGGCATGTGGCATAAGACACAGAACAAAACATTAAAACCAGCGGATGACAAAACGAGCTTTGCTCAAAATTCAAAGCCCTGATTGATTTTAAATCATTTGAAAAGGAATAATGTTTCAGTCTAATCTTGACCTTGTCTGCTGGGCAAGTTTCCTCTCTTGTAGTTAATGACGCCACTGTTAGGCCCCACTTCCTTTCACCCAAGATTCGAATTCGTGGAATAATTTCAGCAGCCTTGGGAAACCAAGGATACTTTTTTTGTGGGTAGACTTTAGTTTCACAGAGAGGCTTCCGCATTAAAGCTAAAGAGGTCAGTCATTGTGTTTCTATGACACCGGGTCAATAAAAAGTTTCTTCGCCGCATTTAGGGGTAATTTTTTTTTTTTGATATCATTGGCGTTCTACTTGGGGAGATAAAAGGAAATAAGGGAAGAGAGGGAAATAACAAGTAATTTTCCAGGTGACGTCAACGAGCCAGTTAAATCGTTTCCCAGAAATCCTATCTACGATACCAAATCATAGCGCTGGTGGGACAGGAGCGTTTCAACAGGTAAATTCAGTTACCTTTTGTTTCAGAGGAATTTTTTCCAGACGCATCTCAAATAGAGTCATTCGACGATAAAATGATAAAGGAGGATAAAAACAATTCAAATGTAAGGGATAATGAAAGCAAGACCACTAAGAGCTTTGAGGATTGGCTCGGAGAAGAACTTCAAGTGAACAGGACGCTTTTATGCTACAAAGCATTTTATTTCCTATTTTTCGCTGGATTTGGAGCGTCGTTTCCATATATGGCACTGTATTTCAAGCAGATTGGTCTGAGCGCCAGCTCTGTTGGGATACTGGCAGGAATAAGGCCAATTATTCAATTCATAAGCGGGCCGTTCTGGGCAATTTTAGCTGACCGGTTTAAGGCCAGGAAAGCAGTTTTGTTACTCTCAATTTTTTCATGGCTCATCATGACGTTGGCTCTCTTAATTCCCACAACCCATAAGACACATTGCAAGGCCATTAAGGAGAATACTACCGAAGTTGAATTGTCAGTGAGTCGACGGAAGCAGTTAGTCCAATTTGGTGCTCAGAGAGAGAACACAGCATCAACCTCCCGTGTGCGAGACAATGTCGACAACGAAAAGAACAATATCAGAGTAAATAAACAAAATGGCGCAAAAGTACTCTTTCATATTTCTCCATTTCAAACGTACTTCCTACCAAGCTCTCATAAAGAGCCTGATTTTGAAGTGGGCCATCCCAACCCGAAGATTTACGAATTGGTTTATGATCAGACCGAAGTGTACCAAGTATTTATTTACTTATTGATGTTAGTTGTAGTCGGAGAGTTCCTTGAGGCGCCGACTTTCATAATGACCGATGCTGCCTTGTTGCAGAAGTTAGGAGACGAAAGAAGGCATTACGGAAAAACTCGATTGTTTGGTTCGTTAGGTTTTGCGTTTGCTTCATTAATAGTTGGTGGGTTACTCGATAGTACGGAGTACAGGTACTGTGGACGAGTTATGAACGATTACAGGTTGCTGTTTTATTCATTTGCCATAGTCATGGCTCTGGCATTTGTATTTGCAGCTTGGATGTTTGAGTTTACCTACGATGAAGCAGAAAATAGTGAACACGGGGAAAACATTGGCAGTACAAAGGAGATCTTAACACTGTTGCTTAAATTCCAGTATGCATTCTTTATTACTATATCGTTTTTTCTTGGATTCTCCAATGGATTATTTTTCAACTTTCTTAACTGGTATTTGGAAGACCTCGGAGCAAGCAAATCATTGATGGGAATTGCAACAGTTTTTCGCGCTATTGCTCTGATCATTGCTTATATATTCAATGCACTTTTATCGGAGATATTTGGACATATGCGCTTGTTCCTGTTTAGTGTGCTGGGATATTTTGTGTTATTTGGAAGTTTCTCCGTCATCCATAATCCTTGGTGGGCATTGCCATTGGAGTTCTTGGAAGGAGTTACCTACGGAACAGCCTGGTCGACTGCTGTCACTCATTTGGCTGACGCTACGCCTCAAGCTGGTGCCGCTACAATGCAAGGTGTGAAACTGATCAGTCAGTACCACTCCTAGTGTAGAAAAGCTACAATTAGTGATGGAAACAAGATATTTGTTTCGCGTACATGAGTTCGCTGGTAGGGTCTTTGTTATAGAATGAGTAAATTTTTAAGAACTACACAATCATATAATCAAATGCTATGAAGCAAACATATCAGGTTTTCCTTTCCTTGTACATTAAAAGTATGTTTTCTCTTCAGGCATCCTTCAGGGAATTTATTGGGGTCTTGGAGGAGGCTTGGGCGCCATTTTTGGAGGAGTTCTTATTGATAAATATGGAGCTGTACCATCTTTCCGTTTAGGGGCTGTTATCTCAGCTTCGGTCTTGATTGTCAGCGGCTGTATTCAGGCTCGCATTTCCCAAACAAAAGAAGAAGAACCGAAGTCAAACCGTTGTGTGGAACACGCAGTGAAATAAACTTAACTAAATAACTTTATAATCTTTATAATTATCTACTGTAAATAACTATCATCTACATGTGTAAATGTATTTGACTTTTAAATTTTTTTTGGTGTCCTCCATTAGCTTATAGCTAAAAACATAGACACTTAAATAAAGTTTTTTTTTTCATTCATTCATGCCATCCACGTCGGCTGCATTAGACCCGGTGCAATTTTGAGTTCTGTAAAATGAAAAATTGAAGGTAACGACGAAGGTTTTCTCCTAACTATATTCAACCCAGCATAACATGTGCATTGAAATTCAGCTTTTCTCCTCATAAGTCTTCCTTGACCGGTAGCTTCTTGAAAGATCTCATCTGGCAAATCAGTGTAACTTTTATTTGACCGATGATTTGCCATTCAAACTTACCGTTTCCTCAAACTTTGATTTTTTAGATTACTTATTTAAAAACTGAGATTTGAGTGAAGAGACCATTCAGATCTGTATGGAATAAAAGATGTATTAACCTAGAGGCTTCATTTATCACAATTCTAAGGAAGCTTCCAGTCCTCAAAAAAAGTATTGTTGTTCATGCTCGTCGTCCTCTTGGACGTAATAAGCTTTAGGAATTTGTGGGTGAAGCAACGGATCAAATCAGTGCACGTAAAAAAATTATTACGACTTTTTCGCAGTTCATTCTCCGAACCTGTATCAACGGTACATTTTCAGGGAAGAAATGGTGAGTACGACTGACACATCAATACATATTGTAACATGCAGGGAATGAGCGCGGTTTAATTCAGTCGAGAAGAGCCTGAGGAGAGGCCGGAACCTTATGCTACCATGACGCGACGAGAAAAGAGTAAAACTTTTGCACTACTGTTTGTGTTATTGAATAAGATTAATTTATAAGGACATTCTCTAAAAAAACAACGGTTAAGAGCTTTAATGAGCGCTAAAATCCATTTTCTGCCGGAACTTAAAATCTGCAAAAAATAGAGCAAACTTATTGTTCTTTTGTCAACGGTTATCGTCATACAATGACGAACTTTGTTTGCATCTATTTATACAATCGATCACGCGCTAAGATTGCAAATACTTTACCTTAAGCTTTTCTTAATCAAAGGAGGAAAACCCACACAATAAAAGATACTTTACTTTAACGCACGATTTTTGAAAAGCAAGTTCGACGTACCATAAGCAAAATACCTTTCAACCTATTCATAAGGGTGTAAAATTTACACTCTTACACGATAAACCACCGAAATGTGCTGCTTGCAATTTCAAATAAAAAAAATTGTTCCCACTAGCCATACGTTGGCGGATGAATTAAAGGCTTGATGACGAATGTTGATTTAGACTGAAGATAGTTTCCGAGGGAATTACAACCATTAAAATTGTTCTTACAATATGTCTTTGGCCTCAACTAAACTGATTTAAATACCCTTTTGAAAATTCCCGGCTGAGTTCTCAGACAGCTTTTATGATGCAAACGTTTTGATGACAAGATAAAACAAAAGAATATTGGAGAAAAGGAAGGCTAATTAGATACGTAAGGTCACCCTCCTTTTTCACACCAGGCCCTGTTTGTTCTTTACCTTTTCATTACTGTCGAATTTCTGCAAAAGGATCATAAAACTGGCGAACTCTCATGGTTTGAAAGGCCTCGTTTGGGAGAATTGCGGGAAGCGTCGTTGAAAACACACTCTCTAATCACGTATTCGTAGAAAATGCAAATTTTTTCTTTTCACCTTGGTTTCCCAGGCAGTGAGGCATGGAAGTATTAATTTCTTGCATAATTATTTTGGCGGACTAAATATAACTTGTGAAGATGAACCGACAGGAAGAATGGCGTAAAATCATTGTTTCTTAACGTTATCCCATGAAAAGTAATGTGAGGGGCCTTTTCCTTTCAAGGTCACGCCACACGCTACAATCCTCTTCGCGCGTTTATTGCCTATATTTAGGTCAATCTTCCTCATCTCCAGACATTAACGATTATTTTACCGCCTTTCTCAGCAATCCATCATGAATATAGAGGACAAGGAACAAAAGAGAGAGGAACAGTCTCCTGTTCAAAAGCACAAGAAGACGACAGACAAAGTAGGGAAGAAAAAGAATCCAAAACAGTCAGACCAATTCAAGTGCTTTTACGAGGCAGACTACCTACTTTTCAAAGGATTTTGTTTCTTCATTTATGCTGCGTATGGTGGTTTTATTCCTTACCTTCCATTGTATTTCAAACAGATATTTTTGGGTGCCAGTTACGCAGGGATCATTATCGGTATCCGGCCTCTTATTCAGTGCATTGGAGCGCCATTCTGGGGAGTCATAGCTGACAGATATCACGCGGGAAAAGTCATATTCTTGGGAAGTGTCATTATGTGGATCGTGAAAGCTTTTCTTCTGCTTGCTGTGCGACCACACAATCAACAATGCATTGAGTTATACCAGAACAAAACATCAAATGCGAGTTATGTGTATGCTTACGATCTTTGGACCACAGAGGCAGCTGAGGAACCAAAATGGGTGGTTATACCACTGCATCATCCAATTATGGTGGAGAAAAATAGAATTACTGTGGTCGATACGGAAGCAAGTGCACAAGCAATCAAGCATGAAACTGACGAACTTCCCCAAGAAGTATTACTAAAGAATGTGCCTCTTAAACAGAGGAAACCCAATAAGGAAAATGCTTCCCGGCACCGTACGAAACATAGAGCTAAACAGACAGCCATTACAGTGATAGAGAAAAGAAATAGTAGGAATACGTCAAAGCATGATCTTGTTCACGATATGGACAAAAATACAAATGTACCCTCCATACTTGGAGAAAACCAAATCGGTAAAAGGTTCCAACTGAAATTTGTCCATATGGTCAAAGTTTACAATGAGGAATTAAACGCCCCAGTGGAATTCATCACACAAATTGACACGTACGAAATTGACTTCATGTTTGTCATGTTTACGTTGATTATAATCATTGGAGAATTTTTTGAGTCTCCGACGTTTGCTTTGTCAGATGCCTCTCTTCTCAAGAGACTCGGAAACGACAGAGAGTACTATGGGCGGATCAGGCTATGGGGCTCACTGGGCTGGGCCCTGGCGGCAGCTATGGTCGGACTTATTATCAATTATTCTACATTCAAAGTTTGCCAATGGCAACAGAACAACTATATAGTTGCTTTCTTCATTTTCATCGGGTTTGTTGCAGCTGCATTCGTAAACGCGTTGTGGTTTCGCTTTACCTACAACGAAGAAAAAAAATTTGAAGATATCGGAAAAGTTGCGCCAATCCTTCTAAGCCTTCGCCACCCTTCATTCCTTATAGCGACCTTGTACACAGGTTTCTGTTACGGAATACTGGTTCATTTTGTTAACTGGTATATTGATGATCTGGGGGGCTCTAGTTCTATCATGGGGGCTGCAGGGGCTACAAGAGAAATAGCCGCTTTAATCATGTTTGGCGTGAGTGCTACAACTCTGCAAGCCCTTGGCAATGTGAACACAATGGTATTCTGTCTATTAGCTTACATCATCTGCTTTATTTGTTACTCTATTCTTGAGAATCCTTGGATGGCTGTAGCGCTAGAACTGCTGGATGGAGGAACTTATGGTTTAGTTTGGTCCAATTGCGTCCATTACATGAGCGAAGTTGGAACAAAGCTGGGTGTTGTGGATACCACACAAGGTAACCAACTCATCAAAACATCTTTCTTTTCAATTAAACCCCCAATTACTGAGAGAATTAAATATACGTTCAATATTTCAGACAGTGTGATTCAACTAGTAGGATTCCCAGGTGTTCTTTTTTATGGAAATTTTAAAGTTAGTCGCAATGCGAGGATCAACTGAGTTTGTCAACCGAAACCGTTTTGGAAAACATTACGAGCTTCGGTATAGCTTGTCCCATAAAAGGGCGAATGAAAAAAAAAAAAATGTTACAATACTTGATCTGTTTGATTTAAACAAAGGCTGTCAAAAAGTTAAAGGGGGTAAGTTTCTAAAGAAATTAAAAATTAGTCACCGTAATGAGTTAAAAAGCCGTCAAAAAGTTAGCCGAGTATGAAAAAAAAATGCTAATATTACAGAAAGATACAGACAAACTATTTGTTTATAGAGAATGAATAGGGGTTTTCATTCTTTTCATTTTACAGTGTGTCTGGGTTAAGAACATGAATTAGGAACTTTATTTATTAATTAATCGTCCACCGAACCAACCGCAACTACACAAACAATCGCTCTATACAAACTTGCCTGGTCATTGGTGTGTAAGGTTTTTTCTGCCGGTCATATTTTTATGTCTATTTTAGCTTTTCGATGATCGAGTCAGTGTCCTAGGTAACAACTGATCTTTTCAGACTATACAACCGAGACCCAATTAGACAGAACCCCACAGAGCAGTTCAGTGCAAAGCCGCCAGAAAGATTTCTCAAAAGTGGTTAAGTAAATTCTGTGACTGAAAACTTCTTTTTTTCTATGTTTGTAGGAATCCTTCAAGGAATATTCTGGGGACTGGGTAATGGTGGTGGTACTATGATCAGCGGTGTGTTGATTGAGTCTTTCGGCACTACAAACACGTTTCGTGCATTTGCCTTAGGTGGTACTGTAGTGCTTGGTATTCTTATTCTTGCACAGTATACAGCTAGTCTTCTTGAGCGGAGAGTAAACAAAAGTAAACAGTACGAGTTACTATCTGAGTCAGAGAACGATGGGTCAAAGAGTGAGGAACAAGAGCTGTCCAAAACCACTCAATGACAACAACCGAACATGGTCTATAAAGATCCTCCGATCTTTATTTATTAATGAAAGAAAGAACTCTGTGTGAAAAGCATGATAGGTACACACCCTTGGTGTACCAGTGGGGGCCTGGGTAGGGGGAATCAGTAGTATGAGTTGAAAGCGATACACACGACTTCAATTGAAGGAAAAATATATATTTGAAGGCCATATCCGACTACACTGAATGTTTCATTTCTTCTATTTTCTTTCTATTATTCTGGAGAAACTTTCTTGCGGAACTCCCATTATGTGAAAATTTAATTCGACCGGATATTACTTATTTCAAATCCTTATCGGAATTTTAACCTGTTTTCTTTGTGAATAATTTCGGCATAGAAACTCACGTAAGGTTGTAAAATGCCCAGAGAAATAATTTCTTACAAAAGTAGGTTAGTGAACAGGGCAGCACAGAATCCAATTGGTAAAATAAATTGCACTGGCGCCATCATGTACCGTGAGAAACAACTGGTGTGAAATAATAGGAATCGCTATTAGTAAATAAAAAAATTGGGGTCTTGATTTGTTTGAATTACTTGTCCTTTTTAACTGATGGGTGTGCTAACAAGTCCAAATCATCAGCACTATTATAATGTCGGCTACCCCCACCACACTCTCAATAACTGGTTGTTGTAGGGCAGTCTTCTCTCGCACCAAGGAGTCCACTGCACCGCATCATGGCTTCCGCTGCATACACGAAACAAATGTCACCTGCCGTACAACATATGACGAGGTTGCATCTCATCTAGGTAGTCGTGGGGGAATGATTGCCACTCCACCCCCCCTCCCAAAAAAAAAAATGGGATGCTACTCCACTCAAAGTTACCCTTTGTCAAGTCTCCAAGGTAATTTGCAAGTATTCATTTATTCTCCTTGGTGGAGAGAGAGGCACTGTGAGAGGAGTGTCTTGCTTAGGATCATAACACCATGACCCAGCCAAGGGTTTGAATACAGACTTTTTGACTCAGTGTCCAGCCTACTAATCACTTAGTTATCATGCCTGTCTCAAGTCCCTCCAATCTACTCTCACACCTCACAGGTTTCAAATTGTAAGTTGGTTTAATCAAGCAAAAGTCGTCAAACAAAGGCTTATGAAGAGAGAGTGTAATTTTGTGAAATCAGCAGAGAGGGATTCATGCCATGGATATTCTTGGGATAGAAACTGCCTGAGTTTCTATGTCATTAGATTAAAAAAAAAAGGTGAAGGGTTATAGGTACCTCGGAACCTCCCTCTTGCTGACGCCCCACCCTGATGAAAAACAGTGGAAGTTTTGCAAAAGTATAGACTGGGTTTGAGACCTAAATCTCATAAATGATGCAAAAAGTGGTTAAGGGAACATTAATTACCCTGACAAGAATTCCTACAAACAGGGTCAAATAATTCCTAAATCACTGGTTAGTTGTAAAATAGTAAAATCTTATCTGGAGTTGATCCAATTTTAATAATTAAGAAAAGTATAATAGAAAAGCCAACCTAACTAGGACTTTTCAATAATATTACAATTTTTCTTTTTGTTGTTAAGTTTCCAAAAGTGATGCTGTCCTTGACATTTTTTTAACTGATTATAGTTTAATACGGAATGCATCTCACTTCATGCCACTCTATTCTTTGAAATGTTCCAAGGTTCTTGCTGAAGGATCTGTGGCATTAGTCCACTTCGGCATCCACAAATACGGAATGAAATGGCCCTGGCCTGGGTAAAACTCTTCGAAGATCTGACGGTAATAGAAGCCTTCCTTGGTTCTGGGAGTGTTGTCAGGGTACACTTCAGCTGCTGCCACAAGTGCTTCATCGGGGACCTGGTTATTGATGTGATTCTGTAAAATCTGATACCATGCCTGTCCAGGCTTGGTAGAAGACACTCCATCAGAGAATGCTTCTTTAGCACGCCAGAGAATCTCCTTGGGCAATGCATCTGTTTCATCAAAAGATGCCCGCAGAAGCCACTTCTCAATGCCATCTTTAGGCTGTCGCATCTCAGGAGGAAGAGACAAGAAATAAGACGTGAAATGAACATCTAAGAAGGGAACACGGATTTCCAGACCATGTGCAGCTGTAGAGCGGTCACCACGCAAAACATCATACAAGTAAAGATCTTCCAGCAGTCTTCGAGATTCCGCATCTGCCTCCTCTGGGGTTGGTGCCTTGTGGAAATAGATGTAACCTTGACACAGCTCATCAGAACCCTCGCCAGAGTAAATTACTACAGTGTCAGTTTCTTTGCTGATGTACTTACTAACAAGGTACATTCCAACTGATGCTCGGATTGTTGTTATGTCCCATGTTTCCAAGGCATAGATCACCTCGCGCAAAGCTTTGAGTCCCTCCTCTGCAGTAAAGATAACCTCATGGTGTTCACTCCCTAAAGGAATAAATTCAAGGCCAAGCAATTACTTTCAAACATCACCAAAATCCTTCCCAACTATTTTTAAGGCTATGAAGTTTTTTGAACCTTAACTCACACAGAGAAAACTCCTCATTAAACCTAAAAGTGTGACCCCTATCAAGCTCTAAAAAGTTGAATGTAATGTAATAAAAAGTTAAATTAACAAGTTTGTTACATTTCGGGAAATACATGCCCTTTTAAAAGGTAATAATTTGGATATATCAACAAAGTTGAAATAATAATTTGGCCACCGTAACGATTACAAAAGCTGACGTTTTGAGCGTTAGCCCTTCGTCGGGGGTAGTCACAACAACAAAATAATAGTATTAAATTGTTTGCCATATTAACAGATTCTACTGCATTTTCTTTGTCATGTAATGAAATATATTTTTTTAAATTCTTCACATAATCCTTCATACAGAGAGTGAATGCAGTCCTAAATTGTGAAGCAGTTAATTAACTTTTGCCTGCTAGCATAACTTTGCAAGAATATATTAATTGGACTTTGTCAATATCTCAACACCACGGGACATTCTGAAAATATTTCAACACCGCACAACCATTATCATGTATCTGAGTTCAATAAGGAAAAAAGGATCTGAACTAACCAATGTGTTTTGCCACTTTGCGAGCTGCAGCAACATCTGTACTTCCTTCCATTCCTATTGAGAAAGTCTGGATTGGGTAGTCAATCCCACTTTCCTTTGCAAGCTTGGTTAGATAAGATGCCACTAAACTGGAGTCCAGGCCACCAGAGAGCAAACAACCAATTCTACGGTCTGCCATGAGACGCTTACGCACTGCTTCATTGAACACTTTTCTGATATTTTCCATTACATCACTGGAGTCAGACTTGACATTGGTTTCAAAGAGGGGGGGCTTACCAACATTTGTGTATGCCTTTTGTGCAATAAATGTAGTTTTCCCTTCTTCAGGTGACAAGCTGTAGGATGCATAGTGACCAGGAGGGAATGGCTTTACCACAACCTTATCGCCATTTTTTTCAAAGTTTTTTATAAGAGGAACAAGGCCTTTTGCCTCAGAGCTTAAAGCCAAAATTCCTGTTTTCTTTCCAGGTGCAGACAAGGTAAACAGTGGACGGATACCAAAAGTATCTCTTCCAATGTGAACTTGTTTTTTCTTTGTATCAATAACACAAAAAGCAAAAACACCATCCAGCCTTTGGGCCATTCCCTCTACTCCAAACTTGTCATACAGATGTAGAATGACTTCTCCATCACATCTGGTGAAAAAGTTAAAGTCGTACTTCTCTCCAACTTCTTTGTGATTGTAAATCTCTCCATTGTAAATTAGGTAAAGGTGTGGCAGAGCTTTGATCCTCATTGGTTGCATGCCATAAAGATCATCAACAATAGCCAAGCGGTGGAATGCCACACAGCAGTTCTTGAAATGGGGAATGGTCTCCATACGGAACACATCAGGTCCTCTTTGGCAGATTTTCATGGCAAGACTGGCATACTTTGAGTATTCTGGGATCCCAAATATAGCCCAGATCCCACACATTCTGCTCAGTGGTAAGTCCCAACCTGAAATTAATATATGTGTTTTCAGGAAGTCTAATGACAAGAAGTACATTTTCTATTGGTTACATGTGTCATAATTAGGCAGGGGTCGCACTAACGCTTTTGGTGTTTACAATGGACATAGTGCAACAAGTGTGACCCTTTTGTCCCAACCAGACATAACTATGTCCAAAGGACCTAAAGATCAAAAAAGCCAGTGTCCTTTCTCAAAGCAGGTCATATCTTGTCTAATGGCCCTAAAACAAAAGTTTTTGTTTTTCTTCTATCGCAACGTCAATCAAATCTGAAATACTGGCAAAAATTGGATTAATATTTCACGCGAGCTAAACAAGAAATATTCAGAATTGATAAAGTAATAAAGAGAGATTATATGAATAAACCAGCTCTGGTTAAATTTCGCAATTCCGCAAAGACAGCACGTGTGCACAGCTAGCTACAGCTATCGGTTCAATATTTTAGTCACCGGTTTTCTCTACTTCTAATGTTTTATCTGGTCCCTATGGTGAATTTCAACCCATACCAATTTACAAATTTGCACTATCCACCTGATTATTCTCAGTATGGGGATGGCTTGTTTTCATACGTGAAATATTAAAGTTAACAGTCCGGTTTCAAATATCATTTACGTCACTACGTGCGAACTCCATGACTCCCGTGCTGTTAATGTCGCGACATATTTGTAGGGCAAATTATGGCGCGAGATAGAAAAAATAAGGCCACAGTGCGACCCCTGCCTTATACCCCATTCACACCAAAGCCTAAACATGCTTTAAAGCTGTTTTGTTAAACATGGTTTAACACAACAGCTTCATAGAAGCTGCTCAAATCGATATTTGGTTGACTTCAAATGTGGCACTTTGAAAATACAATTTAGCAATTTCTTGAATCTCGTGGAAAATTTAGTTTTTCAGTTCTCTGCTTCTGATTTTTATTTAGTTAATCCTGGTTTAACTAAACAAGTTTTCTGGTGCGAATGGGGTATTAGTCAACAAGCCACTTTACTACATCCAAAATTCTCTGAAGATCACGCTTCAAAGTCAAGTTGTCAATACAGATCTTTCAATCACTGACTTTTGCAGAGAACTTTGGAAAGATGACATTTCAAACATTAGCCTTGTGTTGAGGCAGAGATTCATCGAGGCTCACTTTAAGTGTGCAAAGGGGTTGATACATGCTTGCTCCTCACAAGATGCCAAGATATGGAGTTTTACAGAACAATGAAGAGTGACCACTAACTCTTCAACAGTAGGGATATCTTAAAATAACTCTGAATAAAACAGAAATTGTATACTTTTAAAGGAAACTAGGATATTATGAAATTTTTGTTGCTTCATTGTTAGACCACTATTTGGCTGTTTCTCTGGATGAGGCTTTGTGCTTCCTCAATTACTGCAACCAAGTGAATAAAGTAAGGTGAATATTTGGGTTTGGGAGGAACAACGGCATATGCTAGGGACATGGCCCTGCAGTTATTAAGAGCCACTGACCATAAATATTGAGAATCCACCAACAGTTGCAAAATTTCAAAATTCATTTTATTTTTCTAAAGGACCCTTTTAATGAACCTTTTTCGAAAATTATATCAAAAAGTTCAAAATATGCCTAAATGGCCACTGTCCCCCCCCCGTAAAGCAATAAAAAATTAAGCAACTTCAGCAACTTTGTATGCTACAATGCAGTGCAATCCTACTTTTAAATTTTGTGTACTATCAGATGGTCCTTTCATCTCTTATAAATATTAATTTCTTGTTACGTTGTTACGTTCAAGTCTGAATTGTGACCCACTGATAGAAAGTACTTTGTGTCTGAAATGACAAAAAAATGTAATGCGATCCATTGAACGGCTGTCACACAAGAGGTCCTGTATTTGGTACATCTCTGGCCTAGCTGAAAGTTTGGCCTTGACCTCTTGTGCAACAGCCATTCAACAGATTGCATTACATCTTTTCTCAGTTTTTAGCCCGAACTCTTTGAAAGCTGGACACGCTGTCTATGGCAGGCCAAAAAAGAAACTTTGAAGAATTAAACTACAAGGATAAAACTTCAAGATGATATATATTTTGGTTTGTAAGTATATCATACAAGACCTTTTTAAAGGCCTTTAAACAGGTTGTGACAGCTGTTTGGAGGTTCGCAATGCATTTTTGAAAAATAGCCCTAACTCTTTTAAACATGGAAGTGCAGCTTATAGCAAGGGTTTCATTAAGGACTGGGCAGTGGGCAAATTGACCGTTTGTGAGGACGGTTTTGCCCATCTAGTTTGACCATCTGGAGGAAAGTTTATCTTGTAAAGAAGTTCAATTAAAAAAGTTTTGCCCTCCTGGGAAAACCAGTTGCCATCCTGCTGCAAACATTAATGAAACCCCTGTTATAGCAAGCCAAGATAGAGAATTGGTGGAATTAAAATACAAGAATAAAGCTTTATGATGTATATTATAATTTTTAAGTATCAATGGCAGACCTGTTCATAGGCCACTGGAGTTAAACCTTATTTTACCACTGTGAAAGAGATGCCAAAGTATTTTCATTTCACTGGTTACTACTCAGACTTAAACGTAACAAATAATTTGGATATATCAACAAAGTTGAAGTGGTAAATTGGCCACTGTAACGATTACAAAAGCTGACGTTTCGAGCGTTAGCCCTTCGTCGGAGCGAATAGAGGAATTGTGGGTTGTGTGTGCTTTTAAAGGCAGAGAATGGAGCTACGTTATTGGTGGGAACATGGCAACGAGAAAAACAAGAATAAATTAGTGGAATGAAAAGCGTTCGTTGATCCCTGTGGGATTTAGACTGCCGGTTTGAAAGATGAGCTTTTGTTCAAGATTTTTACGGCTTTCCGTGCTACCTAAGTGTAAGGAAAGACCGCAGATTGCCATATGTTGCTTAGAATGATTAGGTAAATTAAAATGTCTAGCGACTGGTTTCGATGTGTCCTTGTCATTCCTTTCCACGTCTCGAAGGTGTTCTCGGAATCGGTCACCTAGTCTTCTGCCTGTTTCGCCGATGTATATCTTTTTGCAATAAGTGCAAGTTATGCAATAGATTACATTGGCGGAGGTGCACGTGAAGTGATCGGTGATCTTAATGGATCGTTTAGGTCCCGATATTTTATCAGTGTTGTGAATGAAAGGACACGTTTTGCATCGTGCACGAGCGCATTTAAAAGTGCCTGGTTGGTCATTAGTCTGAAAAGAACTTCTGACCAAAAAATTGCCTATGTTTTTGTCGCGTTTGAATGAAATGAGCGGAGGCTGCGAAAAGATAGTGCTTGTCTCTGGATCGTTTTGAAGTAATTTAAAGTTTTTAAGAATGATGGATTTAACTGAGTGGTTGTGAGGGTGAAACGTGAGAGTGAATGGAATGCGGTCGGAATCTTCCTTATGCGACGTTTGTAGTGCTGTNAATTTATTCTTGTTTTTCTCGTTGCCATGTTCCTACCAATAACGTAGCTCCAATCTCTGCCCTTAAAAGCACACACAACCCACAATTCCTCTATTCGTTCCGACGACGGGCTAACGCTCGAAACGTCAGCTTTTGTAATCGTTACGGTGGCCAATTTACCACTTCAACTTTGTTGATATATCCAAATTATTTCATTACTCCCACCGACGAAGCCCCAAACAGTTTCTTTCAGCCTTTATTAAACGTAACAACATCAGGGCTCGACACTAACTTTTCAACTTACTAGCCAAGTGGCTAGTGACATCTTAAATGTTTTTAGATGTTACGACAATTTAAGTCTGTTTACTAGCCAAACTGGTGAGTGGAAATTGAAAACCACTGGTCAAAACTGAATTTCTACTAGTCTGTGGCTAGTGGGCTACCGTTGTGTCAAGCCCTGAACATAACAAGAAATCAATAGTTTCCAAGAGATGAAAGCACGATCTGCTAGCACACAAAATCTAAAAGCAGGATGGCATCATGTTGTAGCGTACAGTTGCCAAAGTTACAAGGGGGAGAGACAACAGCCATTTACGCATATTTTGAACTTTTTTATTTTTGGGAGGAAAAAAAACACAATAGAACTTTTAGAAAAAAATTTTTGAAAAAGGTTCATTAAAAGGGTCCTTTAGAGAAAATAAAACAAATTACATTAATTAAATTCTTGATATTTAAGGTCAGTGGCTCTTAAACTGGTATGCCAAAAAAATAACTCGTCTAATAACATGCTTGTGTTGGACACTCCAACAAATGATTATTACTCATGTCCCATTGAAAACTAAGAAATTGATTTTTTATAAGAAAACTTAGGGGGGTGGGTGGGAGAGGGAAAGGGAGAAAATACAATATTTAGTCAAACGCAAGTGGAATCTGGCCCCTTAATCTAAAGGTAAGATTGAATTATTTCCCATAATTCTAAACTGATCCCGTGATATTCTACTACATAGTTACAGAGCAACATTTCGTAGGGTGAATTACTACGTTTTATTCATAGAACTGAAAACCAAGGAAATGATCATAACTACAACAAAATTTCCGCATGTAATAGATAATCAGTTTGAGCACTCACATGACAAATGCGTCATATGTGCTCACATGGAAGAGAGAGGTCCAATTCGGTCTGTAACCAAATATATATGTGAAAAGTGAACTAGTTCGTGTCACCATTATATTTCTCAAATTGATATAAGTTCACAGTCAAACATAAACACACTATTCATCTTAAGTGGCAGAAGTAAACTTTGATTCGGTAAGTCGCTCTTATCGTCGTTGATTTGAAAAAAAAAAAAAAAACATTTCCGATCTGATCAATCGTCGAGCGTGCAAGAAGGGATTTTCGTCCAAGGTATATTTCAGTAGTTCCTAGCAGCCTAAGGCTTCATCATAACCTTTCATTTTAATCTGGTGTGATATAAGTCGCAAGCCTCCTTAACAACCGATTTCTTAACACGTGGCAAATTTCCCATAAACGATTCTAGGGGATAGGAATGGACGTGCTATGGAGAATGGTTCCCAAAGAGAGAAATGAACGGGTAAATTTACCTTAAATGAAATAGAGCTGGGTTAGATATGAAATGTAACATTATTTCTTACCAAATGACGTCTTCCAGACAGGATAGTGCTCCCTATGAAGGAATATAGATGGCAGAAGATTCTGATGCAATCGTGTTAGACACGTGAAACTGATAAATGACGCTTTGAGTGTTGTGTGTCTTGGCTGCCTTTGATTGGCTGCTGCAGACGAGCTGAATTTCTAAGCATTCGCTCCGACTAAGGGCTAACGCTCGAAACGTCAGCTTTTGTAATGGTTACGGTGGCCAATTCACCACTTCAACTTTGTTGATATATCCAAGTTATCCAAGTTATGAATTTATAAGAACTCGCTTACATTAACATCACCCGAGGGCTAAAGAAAGAATTATCATGGAGAGTTCGAAGTCACGAAACATCTACAAGAGGAAAGAAGTCACGCGGCTGACGAGAAAGAATCATGCTGGAATATTTGTTTACTTTAAAAACATCCTTGGGGACTAAATACAGTTTTGTGAATCTTTACCTAGAAGTATGGCTTGGGTACCCGCTATGTTTTCGACCTATTCCGCATACTTTTGTGCCTGTGAATATAATTTTTGTTTCTTTTCATTCAGCCGGTCACATGATGGCTTAAAAGCCGTATTCCTCCTCAAGAGAATCGCTGAAGTTCAACAAAGAGAAAGTGCTATCTGCGATATGTGTGATTTTTATCTCATTTGCTGGGGTTTGGCTAAAAAAGAAAAAAACTTCCCTAAGTGTTGGGTTTAACAGAATTAACTGCGTTTCCCAAGGGAGGGATTTCCAAAGGCAAGTGCACTTGCAAAAGAGTTTTGCCTCATCTTAGCAGATGTGACTGAGTCACTGTATCTGTAAACAAATTAAGCGAAGTAAACCTTTTAATAACGTTAGGAGCTGTATACCTCTCGTCCTCTTCAATTGCAGACGTCACTCATGAACACTGTTGTTTTTAGAACATGCGACCCTTTCCACCCTCAGGACACCAAAAATAATGAGCAATTTCCTGTCTAGATATCCATCTTATCGCAGAAGAGCAGATATTTAAAAAAATGTGACCGATGGAAACATCAGAATTAAAATAAGTACTGAGAACATCACACTGTAAAAAATGCAAAGAAGTGGAGTTATAAGGTCTGCTGGACAAGCGATTCTTATCCTGCCCGATAAGTGAGGAAAACTATTTGAATAAGTTTAATCTGATAAAAAAAAATCACACAGTACCTATTGCTACATGGTTTTTTACTCTTCTTCGATCGTTCGACATTTAGATCTACATTCCTTAACAGAATAAAATCAAAAAAATTACTTCCTCGAAAAAAAAAAATTAAGTTTGGGAATTTTGCTTTCATCGGTGGAGGGTCACCATCAGTTGACTTTTTTTTTTTTACCCAAGATTGTCTCGCGAACTTTCACTCCATTTTCGTAAAAAGGAAATTTACTATTTTACAGAGAAACTTTGTTACGTTAGCATCGATGCCTTATGAAACACATGAAGTTCAACGGACATTTGAGGTGATAAAAAACGATATAAACCGAGTGACCCATACATGGACCAAAAGAACCACGAGAACAAAGACTAATCTACAACAAACCAAACAGCACAACATGCCAGTTCAAAATAATTTAATCTGGAGAAAAATATGGGCGTATAGGGTCCATCAATAATAATTCCAGATAAGTACCAAGAAAATAGTGTACAGTAGGAGAGTAGTATCAATGCTACCACGTATTGAGTCCCTCAGCCAGCTTTGGGTCACCGTCACTTAAACTACACAGTAGTTAAAATTACAATCATTCAATTCTAACCCCACCCAAACACTATCAAGTCTTTCGACGAACTCTTCTGAGTTTTGAGCAGCTAGCTAAAGGCCAATAGCAAGACATGTATTTCAACTGACTGTTCACGGTTCAGCGGTATGGAGAACTGAAGGATCTCGAAGCTAAGAATTAAATCCACGTATGAAAACAAAAGCATTTGTCTATCTCCAACTAAGACTGAAATAAACAGCGTGTTAGGATTGATGCTGTTCTGCGAGCAATGAATTATTAAACCAATTATGAAGCGACTGGGACGAAAACCCACGAAGAAATTAATTGCAAAGGCGGATAAACCAGAAGCCGTCACTTATCCCATAAGAAGAAAAAACCAATCACATTCCCCTTTCAGGGTGGAAAGGCAACAGCAAGCATGCCTAAAATATTCCTTAAAAATTACAATCTTCATACGCAATCTACTTAAAGCTACTTAGTGCAAAAAAAAAAAAAAAAAAAAAAAAAAAAAAAAAAAAAGAAAAGAAAAGAGGAAAGAACCAAAAGGGCTTGAGCAACTTAAATGATAAAATACTATTGGAGGAGTCAGTTCCAGGCACAGACATGCATGGGAATTTAATCTAGATTGTGGTGCTCAGTGGCCTAAAATTAACTCTGGCAGAAATTCCTAATCTCACATCAAAGAGGCCTGCCTGCCTGAAATACTTGCTGAAAAGTCTGAGAAGAAGCCTTTTCACACATCACAATGAATGGTGCACATGCCTACAAGATTACATGGTATTGCACTGAATACTACAAAGGTTTTCAGATTGATTTAGTCAGATCCAATACTTCTGGAAGTAAGGTGTGCCTCACTGGTGACCAGCAGCTTATACCAATAATACACCTGGTAAGCTTCACTGACCAACACAGACCACAATAGAACTTTTAGTATGACATAATTATACAAGATGCTGGGAGACAGTATGATGCAGGAGAGTCAAAATAACAAAGATATAACGCATCTGCACATTTCCTAGCCTGGAGTCATTTTCAGCTGTAAGGCACCTGCTGCCTCCTTGGTGGGGGAGATTGACATCGAACTATGGCATCAAGAATTTGCATCTGGGCACGCTATAAGAAACAATCCTCGTCAAATATTGCACCATTAGAGAAGCACTAGCAAACATATTAAATCAACACCCAAGGATGATTGAACCTATGTTAAGTTATTGGTCATAAGAAACAAAACATTGGGGAAATAAAAGTTGGTGCCAGTGCCAATTTCCTCAGTACTTAACAAAATACTTGCACAGCTCGGGTTGGTCACTGCAATCACTCATAAATTGGTGACTTGTCAACTAACCTGGCCACTGGCAAAGCTTTCTTCAATAACTATAACTGCCTCATTACTATCAGAATCTTCACTGGTTGAAACAACTTTTATGCGTACTCCTGTTTGTCTTTGCAGTTCTTTAACCTAACCCAGAATAAACAGATTTTAAGAAATTGATGTTATGAATGTAAATAAAAATACCCACTTAGTAATGACCCTTTTAGAGCTAAGAAAACTTCTCTACAAGGCTAAACATGTATGACTTTAAAAAAGACTTGGCCTTATCCAAAACGAATTGGGGGCATGAAGTTAAACTGGACTAGACATCACAGTTGGGCCTGAGGGGAATCATGAGAGTAACATGTGGAGTGGACAACACACTTTTGAATCATTTTGTTTGCAAACATTGATAAAAACTTAACACAGCAGATGACATAACTATTTTTAAGTGCTTTGGATCATTAAGGTGAAAAAAAAAAAAACAAGAAAAAAGGTTTCAAAATATCAACAAGTTTAAGGAATTAGTTCTTCCAACTTACGTTTTGGCCATCTCTACCAATAAATCTGCCTATTACATTGGGCTGATCCTTACTGCCTGGTTTAAGAGGTATGAAAATTTCTATTTTCAATTTTAGTTCACCAAAATTTTCCCCTGAATTTGTTTTGTAGCCTTCCTCTGCAAGCTTACAATAAACACAATGTTGAGCCTGAAATTGTCAAGTAAAGGAAACATAATTAAAAAAAAGTGAACACAAGAAACACCGGTACTAGCATTACCTCTTGCAATAATTATTGAAATGGACAAACACATTTCGACCCAGTCCACTAAGTCCTGATAGCAATGTCTATTTCAGATTCAATCACATGCTTTGTTTTATAAATATCTTCATACATTCTGGCCTTTAATATGGCTATTCCAAAATAAATAGTAAGCAACCAACTTATTTTAGCTCCCCTGAATTATCTTTAAATGAAATAGCTTACTAGGTAATGCTGCAAAGGAGTGCCTATGATCTCCACATATCTCTCAGGTGCATCACGATCTTTGGGAAACACATGCACTTTATGAGCTCCACTGAAATTCTTTATATGGTGAAGATTTGAAGCCTTTTTACCAATCAATGAGCCAGCAAACTTGGATGGAAATGACAGGTGAACTTTGACTCCCATCTACAACATTGTTACACAGAAGAACAAATTACTTAAGACAAATCTGAATTTCAACACTTAATCAGTGATTCATTTTGCCCTGCATTTTGCATATTTTATGCATTACCTTCATTAAATACCCATTGGTTTCTGTTGAGTGCATCCCGAGTACTCATAATAAAAAATCTCAGTTTCCAGTTTCTTTGTTTATGTCTAATTCTGTTGTCTATTTCCTCTCTCGCAATAACAGGGGACTTAAGCAGTCAAGACAGCAACGCCAAGGAAAATGTCGATTAAAAAATGAATTTCTACTTTAAATTAGAATTTCGAAAATGGCTGCAGGTGTTTACCATACTAGCAACTCAATACAGGAATGGCTCCGACCTGTAATTGGATGATAAAAATAGTAAAAGTTTGTAAAAGCTAATAAGTTACATCTTAACTCCTTGCACGCAAGTATTGTTTAACCATGTGTCTCCAAGCAGAACAGGGAAATATCAATGCAACTGCAAACTCCGATGTGTCAAACAAGAGATGGTTACTTACATAACGAAGGAGAGACCTTTCTAGTTAAGCTATATTCACGAGAGGACTAAGTCATCTGCTGACTGGTTCCGCTGACTAAATTAAACTCATTTAGTCAGTGCAGACTCAGTTCAGGTGGACGACTAGAGACTGGAGCCATTCCTGTATTTCACTGCTGGTAGGAATGGCTCCTACTCATGCATTCATTAATTTTCTTTTTTTTTGTTTTTGGCGAAATAAATTTTAAACTGAAATAAAATCGGAAGAGCTTTTTATTAAGTTCTTCTTAAGTTGAACATTACAATGCTTGTGAATGGAGCCCTCATAAATTAATACAAGGCCATGTGATGTCTAAAGTTTAATGCAGCAACTGCATGTCACATTTCGAAAATCACGCAATGTTACGTGATGCTCCGACTGATATTTTTAATTTACAGTATGCTCTGCTGGAGAAATGTGGCTTAGCCGCAATCGAGGGAGTTTTCTTCATGGAACATTGAATGGCAAGAGTACCATAATTATAACCCCATACATTAATTATGCATTCAGACTAGTAGACTTTGTTTTAAAGTTTTGTCGTGAACGACAAAAAAGTGGAATGCATAATTAATGTATGGGGCTATATGGTACTCTTTCCACATTGACTTTCTGGGAAAATTGTTCACATGAAAGACAAATCCATTTACCGGGCTCCTTGTCTATTGTTGCACAACACCGAAAGGAAGAAAGTCTCGGATTACTTTAATTTCGCTTGGTAATTTTTAACAACTCTACTATACCTGAAAAAGGAAATACTCATGTGCAAGAAGTTAAGATATAACTTATTAACTTTTACTATTTTTATTATCCAATTACAGGTTGGAGCCATTCCTGTATTTAGTCGCTCCAATTGGCGCGACTAAATACAGGAATGGATCCAGTCTCTGATCATTCGCCTGAAATGAACCTTGACTGACCAAATGAGTTTAGTCAGAGGGATTTGTCAGCGGATAAATAAGTCACCGCCGGATCACCGTTGAACGACCTCGCAGAACAAGAAAGGCCCTCCCCTCATTATGTAAGTAACCATTTCTTGTTTGACACATCAATGTTTTCGCTCGAATTGTTATTTCACTGTTCCGCTTGGAAACACACACTTAAACAATACTCACGTGCAAGGAGTTAAGATGTAACCTATTAACTTTTACTATTTTTATCATCCAATTACAGGTCGGAGCCATTCCTGTATTTAGTCGCTAGTGTTTACCATCTCATACGGCACCACAACTCAACCTCAAAATAACCTGTAAAAGTAGCATTGAGTTCCAAATGGAAATTGAAATAATTTGCCGTCGCAGTTTCGGTTCGGACCGATGCAAATTTTGGTGATTTCACGTTGTTGTTTTGCAGGACGGCTATGAAATGTACTAGGTTTTAAAATGCACGTGCTGGGCTATTGTTCTGCCAATTAGATCTTTTGTTTTTCCATGTCCTCATTGCCGTTGGCATTGTGGTTTGCTTAAGGTCCCTAATGTTTAGAGGGGTACCAAAGATAGTGGCCAGCAACTAAGGGGAAATAAAAAACTTTGATTGGCTGAAATAGAAATAGACAACCAATGAAATTGTCCCTTCCTCGAATCGCAAACAAAACGAAAGCGAGCATCGTTATTCGTATGTAAACGGATGAGTTATGCCTCCAAAAAAAGTAATGAAACTTCTACCTAATCAAGGTAGACTGAATACTTTTTTTAATGTAAACAAGGACGTGAACAACAACAGTGATAAAAATGATAAGAATGATCAAAGTCTTGGTCAAAGTGAAGCCGGTGCCGAAGGCCCCCAGTCCGAGTCGCACGTTTAAAATCAGAGAGAGAGAGAAAAATTCAGCGACATTTTCAGTCGAGATGGTTGTCAATTAATTTGTGGCTTCGACTTGAAAAAGTGGATGACGAATGCATGTACTGCACGGTATGCACCGACAGTGACAAAATGAACTCAATGAATAAAGCATCAAGGAACCGAAATTCTCAAAATAGCACATTGCAACGCCACGTGAATTTACAAGATCATCAATTGGCTTGGCTACTATTTTGACCCATGCATTTGAGTTGTGACCCACTGATTTCTGCCTGAGGGGTACACTGTACCCATTAACACAATTTTCAAAATGAATCACTACTTAATGAAGGAGGGTCACCCCAACTCCCTAGAGGAGAATGCAACAAGCAGACAGAAGTCAAACAAAATTAGAAAAAGCAAATGGCTACTTTGCAGGGACATGATAAAAAAAATTTACCTGAGCCACATTCATATAACCCTGAAAGACATTTCCAAATGTTCCTTGGAACCATGAAGGAAAAGGATGAGTCTGCAAGAAAAATAAATATTTATAATAAGATGATTTACTTTACTTTCATTGACTATCAAATAACTACTAGGAACAGCTGAAAAATAATCATCTAATAATAAGTTAGAGTAAGCACACTCACAGGTTGTGGATTATTATAAGAGGGTGCTCCCATTTGAGGCCAAGGACCCTGTGCATGGGGAGGCATAAACTGTTGCTGTACATTTGGGCGCTGTTGTTGCTAGAGATTAAAAAGGAATCATAATATGTCATACCTACATACATGCACATGAAAGCCTGCATCATTCAGATAAACAGCTCAACTTTAATACCAAGGATTAATTAACCCACAAGGGCTTGGTTTTTCTTAAAAACTGTGCTTTGAAGAAGAATAATAGGTGCCACTCAACATAGATCTTACCTTGAGTCTTACCTCCACGATATTGCTTTCAATTTTTTTTTGGGGGAGGGGGGAAGGGTAGGGTTTTCAAGTCAACTCTTCTGATGTTCCCCCTTCAAAAAAAGGATTTTTAAACCGAATGTGTGTTTTCCAACTAGAACCTCATACTTACCTAGGGATTCAGTGAGTTCCTGTAAGTATTGTGTGATGCACAAACTAAATGTAAATCAGTCTCATCAGAACTTATAGCAGTAATAGCGGCTAAGCAAGTCAAACACTTGCTTCAAGTTGCAAATAGACCCACGTAAATTTACAACAAAAAGTTAAGTGTTTGGACATTACTGTTCGATTAAAGTACAAACCTGTGACATGATCTCTCTGAGACAACTGTATGCTTTGACACTGACTAAGTGTTCAGCTTGACTACATTTTGAAAGTGCTTCCTCTTCTTCTGGGCTAAGCATAGTATCCTCAGATATAGCTAACTGTTCTGCTGGCAATTGAAACTGTATTGTTATTACTCTATCCATTTGGTTTAATGGGTTGATGTCTCCCCTGCAGGTATAAAAAACAAAACCAGTTCCTTTAATGCCAAGTGTCTTTTAATAGTATTCACACATTAACATGAAGCTTTAGTCTTGGAAAATTTATCAAGGTGTAGGGCTTTTAATGCAACAGTCAGTTTTCTTGCACAAAATATTGCAGTAGTTTTTCCTAGCCCTTGCCATCTCTCTGTGGTGTTCAGTGGATGAGGGAGAAGGGAAAATTATCTGGCTGTAAACAGCATTCTCGAATACACCTTAATGGCCGGGAGTTTTTTAGGTTTCATGCAAAAATTCTGCTATGATTAAAGGTTTCGCACATCAATCTATAGAAACTACAACATTTACGTCATATTCCCTAGTACACTACACAAACTGGTTGCAAGAGCACCAAAGAGAAATCTCAGGTTCAATTTGCCAGTATTAGAAAATTTACCTTTTTGCTCGAACAGAAGTAACCTCTACATCTTCAGTAATATGTTTAAGGTGGCAATGACCTCTACCTGCCAAAAATTGATACTGAAAGTTAAAAAGGGACATCACTACAGAAAATTTAATTTTAATTTAATTTATTAGATTCGCCGACAGGCAGGGACACCGCAACAGCTTGTGCCAATTACTGCGAGCCCAGTAAACCCACCCACATCTCACCTTAGGGGGAGGACATCCATCGCACAGTAATCTCGTGTGTGGGAAATTAACATCTTTTACCCCCAACCCTGCAGGAGACGGGACCTCCATTTATTTGTTCCTATCCAAGAAGACTAGAATATCTAACCATTTCT